GAGTGTTCGTTTTCAGCAATAAAGATTATAGTAGTATATCCATGTTTTGTAAATTTAATGAATTCCATGTAACAAAATATCAGAAGTGAAATCTATGAACTTCAAATTGAGTGGGGTTATGTGCGTTGTCAGAATATGCATGTTTTGATGGTGTTCATGTTTCTCAGTCGTTAGATTTCTGTGTAGTCTTTTTGTGGACGTGTATGTCTTTCCGTCGTCTTTCGTTTGTTTGCCATCTCGTTGTCACTTTATTTCGACTAATGAGTTGTGAATGTCCCTTTTTTATATTCCGCCTCTTTTTTTTTGCAATATCCTCAGTACCCGTTAATGATTCCAAAGTCACATCACTTAGACAATGTCATTGCTATAATTGTGTTAGATTGACATTTGTAGACATATGGGAGATCTATGACAGAGTAAAAATGTTACATCCAACACATTTGAAAGCTAACAGATACCTCATAAATTAAACACAAGAAAATCCCACAAATCTAACCAGAACAAACAAGTGTATGCATCACCTTTCATCTCAATCCCTATCCAGTATGAATAGCACACCATGGAACAGGACACGCTCGGAAAATTCACAGATCAGAAGACTTTTATGACATCTAATGATCCAAAACACTGTCAAAATTTCGATAATCGATTAGATATCGGTCAACAAATTCGTGAAGTTGACGTACTCGTGAAATTCATGTAGTGTCGATTTCAGTCGTTGTTTCAAATAACAAAATTTGTGTCAGGACCACACCTCTCTTAATGAAGTCCGTATAATGTGAACATGTATGAGTATATCAATTGAAATATATAAACGCCTTACGATGGGACAGAGGGTATATATGTTACTACTGCGAAATGAGAAGTGGACAATAGGAATGCTGAATTCATCACATTTTAAAAATATTTGAAGTAAGTCGACCATTTTTGTCAAAGAGGAAAACAGGACGGAACGGAACTGTGACTACGTAAACGGGACATATCAGTGATCATTTGGTACACATACATACGATCAATTAAGTCATGGAGGCTTCCGCAAAGCATTTACGTCAACTGTAACTTTATTAATCCCTGTTCAAGTTGCAATATAGAGAATATCATAACAAGCTCTGGAATTTCGTTTCATTGGAAAAAATCAACTTCATATGCAGATGCTGCTGAAATATTGATAACTTTCAATGAAAAATTCAAAACCAAAATTTGACTCACACTAATTTATAAGTTACTGTACCCTCACTGGATTTCTAACGGATTCAGAGACCAAAACTAACCTAGATGTATCTGCGGTATCATATAGTCACAATCAGTGGCCTTAGAAAGGAAGTATCACAATAAAAACTTGAAGTATTCATTGAAAAGACAACATCGATATACAGGAGCGAAAATTAAATGATATTGTTTCTTTTTTTAATTCTTTTCGTTCCTTTTTAAAAGCCCTTGTATGCAATCTGTCTCATAAGTATCTATTCCGAATATGTTAATTTTCTATCTTCATTGGTCATTTCGTTTCTTTGAACAAAGTTGTTTTTCAATTTGTCTTAAATTTAGCACGAGGAAATCTTTTGTGAAAGCTCATCTACGGTACACTGCTTATCATTTTTACACCAGCCGCGCATGTCATCTACACAAGACTCACCACTGGTGCTCGAATAGTTGAAAGTCAAAATAAAAAACGGAAGTTGAAGAGAATTTAAATCCTAAAGGGTTTCGAAAACTGGTGTCAAAACAGGTTAATATAATTTATGACTGGGGGTTATTAAAACTTTAGTGTTTGGAATAATTCAGCATTTTATAAACATTACATGTACAGAAAAGTAACATATCAATGATATGTTAAGGATGAATAAGTCAATTTAAAAAAAACAAAAAACAAAAAACAAACCAAATTATTTCATGAGGAATATTATCTTGATTGTATGTACTAGACATATCTCAATTATCTTTATCCACGTGTAGATCTATAAAGTTTCAAAATAACACTTTAACTGTTATTTTATTACCAAAGGAATATATTTTGCTTATTTGGAAATAAGTTTGATGGCACATTTGACAGATCACGCAATGTAATGTATTTGTAGCGACACTTGGTTATATAATTTGGATATGAAGTAGAAAGTGGGGAAATCTAGTTCTTAACCATTTGTTGACAAAAGCAGGTTGTTAAGTAATTCATAATTAGTAAGAGGTGTTTTTTTGTATATGTTTGGTTTATAAGTGATGAATAGGTAGACTGCCACGCTCCCTATTCGTTAAAGAAACTTTGAGGGTTCTGTCAATGACCTGTTGCAAGGCAACATTTCTGTCCCCTTCCATACCCTCATTTTCTAATACCAGTTCAGTTGTCAACCATAATTCCGGTTGCCTTACTTTGCAGATACGAGTAAATAAGATGTGGTATACGCAAACGAGACATCAACTCAACAACAACAATAACTAAAATGATAGTTTCAACAATTAAGAGGTAAATGTATCTATACAAACCTTCCTATCCGATTCATGACATATTTGCCACTTTATGTTGGGCAAACAACAATGAATCAATCTGAGTGAACTGTCATCACCTTATTCCTTTATCAGTCAGTTTATATTGAATACACACAAAAAGATATTGTTTGATATTCAATTTTTTCAATAAAAAGTCTTTCATCTTAATAATGACAGTTTTATTTACTTGACAATTGATATTTTATTATATCTGGACTGAAACTTGCTGCCCCAAGTATTGGTCGGCAACATTAATGTTAAAAATACGCTGCACGCTGACTTCTCGCGTTTGAACTACATTGTGGTCCCCAAAACTAAACGCAAAAACCATCTTAAACAATGTTTCAATAAACTCTTATTAATCTACTTGCCCAGCATGCCTCGTACTTGTTCAAGTTAAATAAGACTGTTCTGTTCTGATATTTAAAAACCACAAATTTTTATTTGACCCTGTACATACAAAAACAAAGGGGGGAAACGTAGCAATGATATCGAAAACTTGCAAGGAAACTGCGGGAATCTAGATTTTGTAATCAATATAAGCAATCATTTAAGACAAATATCCTTATTTGAAGTCTTTCTTGAACCTGAAATAAAAAAAATACATGTCATACCTTGGTAGAATATTTAAATTAATTTTAAAAACAAAATCGTAAAATGAATCTAAATAGATTCTTTAAGATTTACTTTTTAAAAAACGGGTTTTCAGTTTGACTTTAATCAATCACATATGCATGGGTAACTCACACGTTTTGACTATACCACTGTATGATTCTGAGAAAAGCTAACTAGTAATACTAAAAACATATATTATACAGTCATATAAATAACACTCGAAAAGGGTGATGGTTTTATTCTAAAATAAATTAACCGAACTTTTATAAAATGTATCTGGCAACCACTGCCAAATTGTTGTAAAACATCGTACAGATGGCAGTGAAATACAGTTTTTATTTGTTTTGATTAAGTACTTATAAAGTACATTGTAATTGATTTCAGTGATATATCAAAATGCTGTATTTTCTATACCAACATAATCCTATATATCAAAATGTTAAGTATCTTTTAATTGATATGATCATTATTTAAAGAACTTTTAATTAGATATAGCTGTTTCATTGCTTCAGGTTAACTCTGGAAATATGAAAAGCTCAGCCTTTCATTTCTGCAAACCATTAGTGTAATGTGTTCTAAAAAGATACAAAATGAATTATAATATACTCATATACTTTCATCAGATAATATGTTTGCAAGAAGGATATTTATTTTAACTTAAGCTACTTTACGGATAATCTAAAACGAACTTAATCGTCTATCTATTTTGTGGAAATTGTACATTTGTATGCATGTATGAAAAGTATTTGAAATTAATTAAACTATACCATCCTAACGACCTGCCTGGTTCCAAGTGTAAATACATTATACCTTCTTTTTAAGGAATGTATTGGGCGTTTAGGCACAACCAAAAGAAATATAAAGAACAATCACGACTAAAGAAAACCAATCACAATTAAAAATAGACATCTCTAGACAGAAAAATATTCAATTTTGATATACAATGTCAACTCTGGTGTTAGAAAATAGCTTAATTTATGCTGATTCTGAAAATATATGGTTTTTATATACTTTTGCTAAAACTAAAGGAGATAGTAGGTACTTCCGGTTTACAAAATGTTTCTTCCAGTTACATTTGAACCTTACTTCACACTGGTTCCAATTTTTTTTTTAATTCTAGTAAATTCTATGTAAAAATAAAGCAAAAATGGCTACTTCCGGTTAACAAAAGGTCACTTCCGGTTGACTTCTTTGAGGTCATATATCTGTTATCCAATGAATAAGACCAGTTGACTATATCTTGAAACAATAAGGAGTTAGTTCAAAGTTCAAAATATCTCGTCAAATCAAACTTTGACCTTAAACCCATTTCAAGGTCATAAAACAAGGACCTCAAATCAAAAGACCCTAAGTCTCTACTATATATGATTAATGAGTTATATCACCATACAGCTAATATAAGAGGGGAGACAACTCCAATTAAATGTCTACGTACACTTTCAAGCAATGACCTCAAATCAAGAGACCATAGGTCTCTATCACTTATGGTTTGCCAATTACAAGTACATTTCACTTATTTCAAACGCAGAAGGGGAAATAACGCTCATATGGAATCTCTATACCGCTTCAGTCAAAATTAAACAAAACATCTTGAGGATATAACGGGAAATTTGGAAAAATAAATTTGTCGGTTTCTTCTACGGTTGCTAAGTAATAAAAATAATAGTGTTTGGGGAGATAGCTCTTACAAGTAAAAGTATTTGGTTGAGCGGTGTCATGATATATCATATACCAAATGTCTTAGCGACTTCTTGCGAAACAACAAAAAAATAGCAAAAAAAAAAAAAAAATAAGCGGAAGAAAAAAAAAAAATTATAATCAAAACAAGAACAAAAAGTCTTTCCACGGAAAAGTGAACAGACATTATTAAAACGCATATCAATTATTTTCCTTTGTTTCAGATACATGGCTATTATACATCCGCTACGACCACGACCAACAAGAAGAGTCGTTCTAGCGATTTTGTGTATATGGACAGTATCTATAGCTCTAGCACTACCAAATCTGATGTATGGGACTCTTATCACATACCCGAATATATCACAGAAAACATGTGGCATTGTATGGTCAGATGGAACACCGGCGGAAAGCAAGATTGATTTCTGGTCTGTAATTTAGTTTTTATTTTCAGATAAAAGTATGTTCTAGATGCGCATTTCGACAATAATGTCTCTTTAGTGATGCTCGATGCCAAAATATTTGACCAAACTAAAAAGGATTTAAAGTATTGCCAAATCCAAAATAGAATCAGAGCTGCTACAGCATTGTTATTTATGTAATGATTCACAAATAGACATGTACGCAATGTTTAGATTATTCTACGAAATTTAATGAGCCTAGGTTTGCTCTTAAACTATGTTAGTTGCTGAACGACACATATAATACAACATCAGGTGAAATTCCACTGACATATAAAAACAAAAAGATATGCTTTGTATCTTTTAATAAATCACATGCCGTTTACACCAACCTTGAAGTATGTGCTTCTGTTTTTAACATGATTTAAATGATATACTTTGTCTGTAAATTTCTGTCAAGTCTTGCCCAGATATTTTTGAAACGTTTCTTCTAAACTGTGCTTAATTAATTTACTATTTGTCTACATTTCGGGTAATACATAGGTTTGTAAACGTTACACACGCTTATTTATTATTGGATACCTCATGTTTAGTGGGTAGAACGCTGTTGTGCAGTTTCTATACTGTTTGTTGATCTGAATTATTTATTCGGTTTCCTTAAGCAAATCATTGATTTCCGTTTCTTTATTTTGACCTTGGGTAACTATAACTATCATTATGTACCTCCTATATGTATTTTTGCTCCACATTATCTTATGGATTTCCCAAGCAAATCATAGACTTGCACTTCCTGTATCTAGGAATTGGGGTATCATATTATGAGTTTTGGTCAAAGGGACTCTTATTTTCCCCCGATTTCGGAAGTGGGAAGTATATAGTGATATGGGAGTCCCTTCGTTCGTCCGTCCGTCCCACTTTTATACCCGAAACTGCCCCTGAACGACTCGACATATCTAGAATATTGTGACACCTTCACAGAATCTTACTCATCTCTAGTCTTTCTCAGAATCTTCACCATATATTGCAATTGTACACTTAGTTTGTTTTTTAAACCACGTTTTTGTAGTTTCTCTGAGCAATGTATAGACTTTGCCATTCCTGTATGTAGGGGAGTGGTGGTGTCAATTTGTGAGCTTTTCTCACCATACCTCTATTTTTATTTGCTGTCTCAATGACGTTTATCAGACACTCTGTTTATCTTAAAATAAATAAAATCAAATAATAAAAAAAAATATTTGTCCATCTCATTTATTATATATATCGTTTAGGCGATCTTTTAGAATATTCGTAGAAATATTAAAGTCACCAAAAGGCAAAAGAGAAATCGCATAATGTGGTTACTGGTAATAGTATATAAACACAGGCAGTTGTGCATTATTTATAGAACTTGGGTGACTTCGTCATTTACAAATAGAAAATAAACAGATATGTGGTGTAGATGGAGTGTCGATGCATTGCACAAATCCTATATAATACAAGATAATACCAAAAAATCTACATTCGATTGAAGTTTGTTTCTAAACTTACACTAAGCGTAATCTGCAAACTGCATGGAATTTATTATATTTCGTAACAGTACAAAATTTTAATCCTGTTGTCTATGATGAGTTTATTTGAAACTTGTAAAAAAACGTTTCAGTTATGTCTTAATTTAAATTGCACTTGATTATTATCCCCGCAGACTTATCCGTTTATAATTTTAATAACTACTTTTTATTTGTTTCCCCAGGTATAATGTAGTCATCATAATTGTATCTTATGTGATACCTATGGCTATACTGATCTTAGCTTATAGTAGAATTGGTAAAGAATTATGGGGTCATAGGGCTATTGGAGAAAATACACAACTACAGTTTGACCGGATACAGTCCAAACGAAGGGTAATTTCTTTAACAGTTATGCAATTTATGTAGTGCATGTATTGTAACTTATATTTCTAGGTGGGCAGAAGCTTAAAATCATCTTATGAATGGTAAATTGCGCCTGTTACTTATGTAAACACACATCGAATGTGAGAAAGTTAAACAACTTTACAAAAAAGTATGATTTTATCGCTGCGTTTACGACCCATTGGTACATGCCTTGTGCTGTCTTCTGCTCTTTGATCGGGTTGTTGTCTCTTTGACAAATTTCCCGTTTCCATTCTCCATTTTGGCATCGGTCATCAAACTGTTAAATGACGTTTGCAAAGTCGGAAGAGACATGTTTTTACTGTCTTTAGTCTTAGAATAGAAGTGTTGTCTGATCTGACCATTTTTAAATTAATTTGGAATATACAAACCAAGAGCTAATGAACTGAGTTAATCGCACATGTTCGAGACTTTGAGAGAGTTAAAAAGCGTCTTCCGTTCTATAGACACACATCAGCCGCTATCCGATTTTATATGTTAGTATGTTTTGAACATCGGTAAACATTATAATTGCTTGTTTACTTAATAGTGATAGTTAAAAATAGTTGCTTTCTCATTTGAGTTTCCCATAGACAACTGCGTGTTCGAAAAATCAGGGCACACATGGTAGTTGTATCACAGAGTATGAAAAAAGGAAGCGTTGATGTCGAAACCTTTATGATCGTCTTTTTGCTATTTGCAACAAAATTCAACTCCGTGTCTTGTGTATCTATAATAATTAATCTACAATATAATAATACAAACCTAGAATTCAAACTAATTGTCGAATCAAATGCTACCCTCCCCACCCCCCACCCCCCCAAAAAAAAAAAAAAAAAAAAAAAAACCAACACTCACTACCCAAACAAACCTGTATCTCTTTTCTTGCAGGTTGTAAAAATGATGATTTTTGTGGTGATTGTGTTTGGTGTCTGCTGGTTACCATATCATCTCTACTTTCTGTTGGCATCATCAGTTCCTGATATAACGTTGGCAAAAAATGTACAACAAATATATCTGGTGATTTATTGGATAGCAATGAGTAACTCTATGTACAACCCTATTATATACTGTTGGATGAATGAAAGGTATTACTTGTTTAGTTTAAACTCAGTTAATACATTTTTCTTATGAGGTAATTTGAATGCATCTGGTCATTATTGGATGAAAAATTGTTTTATCGTAAACAATGCAGTGCTTAAAAGTAACTTAATTAAAGAGATCTGATACAAGAAATTACTCAACATATGTGATTTTATAAACTAGAAGTTATAATTAAAAGATTATTTCTTTAGATAATATGATTATTATCCCGTTAGAACACTTGTCAGTTATTTACATGATTGTATCCTACCTATCTAACACATTTTGCTGACTTCAGTTCAACGACATTTAAATTGCACAACCAAAGAGTTGGGGACAATTTCTCTTTTTAACTTATTTCACATAAGAGTCATTTTTGAAAAGTCCCTAATCTTTACTAAAACGCACAGTATCGTGATAGATTGAAATGTGTTTTGAATGTTTTAACTAAATGTTGGCGTATTTCGAAATGTTTTACATGTACCTTATTGAAAAAAGTAATATCAAGAAGAACGTTCTTAATTAAAACCAAAATTCTATTTCGAAGTAGTTCTATATTTTGTCTTTGCGATTAAGATAAATTAATTGTTGTTAAGGTTCATCTATACACTTCAAAAAAATGGCTGTGTTTACACCATGGAATTTTCTCTGAATGCAGACAAAACTGTGTAATTCTAATAGTTTTAAATCCTGGCAGCACCTAGATATATACAAGTTGTATTCATTTTGTGTTTTAAAAAGAGAAAAAACTTTTGTGGATTTTGCTAAACATTTTCTTTCCTTGCCACAGGTTGTGTAAAAATAAACAAAGTCATGTGAAATCTTTGAGATGGTCCCCCTGAGGTAATGATTGTATTGTATCATATTGATTGATATGGACAATAGAGGGACAATAGAAATCTACTCACAACAAAGGTGATTTAAATAGTGTAAATGAGTGGACTGTATCAAAGAAAACTCAGGTGTTTGTTTATTGCACCATCTTCTGTGGCAAGGAAAGAAAATGTTCATCAAAATCCATTAAGTGTTTTAAGTTTTTAGAACATAAATTGGATGTAACATTAATTTATCTAGGTGCTGCCAGGCATTAAAACTTTGAAAATTATTCAGTTTTGTCTGTACTCAGAGAAAATTTCATGGTGTAAACACAGCCATTTTTGTTAAAGTGTATAGATGAACCTTAATGATATCGATTGGTGCATACTTTTATAAACATTGTTAACTTTGCAGTATTGCCTTCAGAAGCTATACATGTATGTAGCGCTGAATAACATTTGCATGATCTTAAATTGTCGATTATTTTTTAATTATTTCATATAGAGTCCTTCTCATTTTTATCCTTATTATACAAATTCAAGCGTATTTAAAGAACGTTCTAATCTTGACCCTGTGAGTGTAACCAACAGATGGGACATTGGCCCTACCTCTTTTAAAAATAGTAGAAAGCATACTGCATTACCCTATTGGTTACACTATCATGATATTAAAGCAGAAGACTTAATCCGCTTTCAGATAAAATATGAATGAAATCAGGACAGGAAAAGCGCTATACTGTAAAATAAGGGTAAAATAAATAACAGAAAAACTGGTACAAACAATCCATTACTAAACAATATTTTACCGTATCTGCTTCTTTGATACGGTAAAATATTGTTTAGTAATGGATTGTTAAATGTCTTACTTTTCCGAGCAGATTGTAGATTGTCTTTATAAAATTTATTAAATAATAAAAGTGTTTTCAGTTTATTTAAGCATGTTTCAATATTCTCAAAAATAACCTTAATCCTTAAAGCAGAATGCAATTCCTTGTAAATTTTGATTTGCGGTCTATGTTTTTATTATTTCATTTGAACCCTTTGATATGTGTGTTATCGGTAAGGATGCAAACGTTTTACCAAATTTACAACTAATTGCATCTTTTCTATCTTAAAACGTACGTGTATCAATTTCAGATTTCGTTCGGGATTTATTGAAGCGTTTTGTTTCTGCCCATGCCGGCCATGCAAGAGGATAAAGAAAAAATATGTGACATGTTTAAATCCTGTTCGCTCCTTTGCAATGTCAGAGAAATTCAGGAACGGATCAATGATGCAGACTATGACTGACTATATAGATGATTCAGGAAATGCCGGAACTGGTTTGGTTCGTGATAAAAGACATAATAGCAATGACTATGATGAGTGTTGATATTTTTGTAATTCGATACTGAGATGTGGAGCTATGTTCGTTAGGAAAACCCAAGCTCCTGTAGGGATGAGGAAATATAAAATTAATGTACCATTTACAAATTGTTACATCGTGTAGTAAGTGATGATGGTTTTCCGTTCTTAAATACAAATGTAGATACCACGTTAATTAGAGATTTTGAAAAAATGGTTACTTGACTATATGACTTTTTTTACGTCAGTTTAGATTTGACGGTATAATTAGTTAAATGCATTTGTTTCCTGTTTCTCTTGCAAAGAAAAATCAAATTGAGTGAACAATAAACTGTTCTGTTTGAAATATATGTATTTTTTTTAAACACTTCTATGGCATCTATTCACACGCGCATATTGTACATGTCTATAATCACTGTTAAATGCTAACTTATGTTTGGGTAAAATATTTTGTACGTTATTTTGTTGTGTTAAAGATATATACTATACCATTAAATGTCTTTTAATATTCAATTGTTAAGTCTACAAATTTCCAAAAAGAAGTTTGACCTGCAGTGTTTTGTTGACTGTTGTTTTGTCTTTTTTCGTTTTTATTTTATGACCTAGTTTTGTCAGTTATTTAAAATTATGGGTGGATTTTACATAGATAAATAAAATCGTATAATAAAAAAGCAAAATGAGGATGTTAAATTTGATGTATGCCTTTTTGTGCTTCTTTGTTACATTTGTTTGTTTTATAGTGATTAAGATGATAACACAATGTTGACTGCTGTACCCCTATTTTTGACATTTTTACCTGTACATTGTGTCTGTTTGTTTTGTTCACATATCGTTGTCAATATAATGGAATTTGCGACTGTCATACAAGTGAGAGGTTTAGCTAGCTATAAAACCAGGTTCAATCCACCATTTTTTACATAAGAAAACGCCTGTACCAAGTCAGGAATATGACAGTTGTTATCCATTCGTTTGATGTGTTTGAGCTTTTGCTTTTGCCATTTGATTAGGGACTTTCCTTTTTGAATTTTCCTCGGAGTTCAGTATTTTTTGTGATTTTCCCTTTTGAATCGTCCGCCTTATTTTGGTTCTACAATAAATTAGGCTGTGAATAATTTCGAATAGTCATCAGATGATATAAATTCACCTAATTTTGACAATAAAATAGAATTTTAAACAACTGTCATACAAGTGGGAGGTTTAGATAACTACAAAACCAGGTTTAACCAACCATCTACTTTGACAAATGCCTGTATCAAGTCAAGAATATGACAGCTATTTTCCATTCTTTCCGTTGGTTGATAGTTTAACGTTTGATTTTATCAGTTTTATAGACTGCCCCTTTTTGAATTTACCTTGGAGATCGGTATTTTTGTTAATACTTTTTTATTGCAATGTAAAACAGCCACTTTGATGACGAATATTAAGATTTAAAATCCATCAATATACAAAATCATGTAAAAAAAGAATTACTCGTGTACATTCAAATGGTCCATCGAAAGTTCCGTATGCATATTCTGCAATAATATTCGTCTAGAACGCACAGTGCCAACAACTGGAGGTAGACAAAACAATATGTAAAGAAACTTGCTGGGAAAAAAGATTTGCAAGATTAAAGTGCAAATGTGTATTAAAAATATATTCACTCAAATCGTTTCGATGTTCGTCATTCGTTAAGATATATTTCAAGAAACTAAAAAAAAATAATTCATTTAAGTTCTTAATAAAAAAAAAAGTGTCAATTTATCTTCGTTGATAGTCATATTTTTTCCATTCGACACTGCATACTATTACTAAACAGAAACTTATTCCTTTTATTATAATTAAAATCGTCTTTCGATCAATCTTGATGTAACTATATCTAATGTAGTTGATGTTATCGAATATTATTTTCGTTTTAAGCGATAATACATGCGTCTCACAATTAACGGGTAATAAAATAGGAGCTTGCCGTGTATCTTTTATCAAAGAAGTGTTCTCTTGCTATTAGAAACAGTAAATTGTTCCTAATTTAAAACCAATCTAGAAATTCCAGTCAAACGATTTTTTGCTGTGGATGCTCTATCTTTTTCACGACAAATATGTTGCTGCTCAAGCTGACAAAATCTCAAACACTATTGTTTGTTATTTGTAAAAATGATTATTTGGAATGTCTCAATAAAGAACTTTGAATTTACAACAAATTTGGAAATCTCAAATATACCCATACACCATTTACGAAAGAGGCAATTAAAAAACATTCTTGTCTGCTTTATTATTAGAACAAAAAGGACAATGGAAATCTCCCATATTTATACGGGATACCTTAAATTAAAAACAAAATCCTAATAAAGCACGATATATAGCGTCTTATCACCACTCATTCTACAGTTAAAAACGGCCTTTATAACTATTGTGATGAGGTATATTCAAAAACCGATATCTATCATATGTGGATTATAACAAATTCTAAAGATATACCCCAAAATCTCCAGCAATAATCTTTACAATTTTGCATTAATATCAAAACATTAGATTTTTCTACGTTTTGCACTACTATTTTCAATGCTCAATTGAAAGTTCGACCACATCATTAAATCAAATAGAGCTTTTTCTACACAAATGGGAATCGTAGATACAAATTCCTTGTGTAAGGTCATGAAGATCTAACTTTGTGAAGAACCATACTGATTTCAATAATAAATACATCGAAGAAGATATCATCACAATGCTGGACTTTTTAATCGACAGAATATTAGTTGACATTGGTGGAATGGCATTTAAAACATACGGTCGGTATTCCAATGGATGCAAATTGTGCACTCCTACTGGTGGATTTAATTTTGTACTCGTATGAAGCACATATCCTTTTCAAAGACAAAAAGAAAAAGCATCTTGCAAAGTTATTTAATTTCACTTTCAGATATTCTGATGTCTTATTACGAAATAACTCAAACTTCATTTAGTGTTTGCATCTCATGTATCCAAGTGAACTTATATTGACACAGATGGACGACTTCAACCTAGAATATATGACAAACGCGATTGTTTTAACTTTCCAATTGTCAACTTCCCATTTCACAGCAGTAACAAATACGTTACACTCGTACATGTTCACACTGCGGACTTCATTAACATATGTGCGTCTACACCAAAACTGCTTCAACAGAGTTATGAAGAACGACTGAAAATTGACATTACTGAAGAATGAAGTTTAACGGTCACCATCACGAATTAGTTGACCTATACGATGAGTCTGTGTCTCAACTCACTAGCGCCATGTTTTCGTGGTCTTAGATCTTTAGATATCAGAATACGTCTGATCTGTAATTTTATTAGTTGGCCCTGTTCCCGATTTTTCTTTAAAGATAGGCAGTCCGAAACAACTAGACAAAGACAAATAGACAACATCATGGGTCAAAAAAGAAATAGGAGAAAAAGACAAACAACAGTTCACAAAACACTACATGAAAACATGCAGGAAATCAACCAAAATTCGGTAAACTCATGTTCTCCAGACGGGCAAATAGTTCCTGCTCTACTTACGATGCTTGCAATATCACCACTTTTAAAATCTGTTGATGAGTCATTTTCGGTGATATGGATTTAAGGTGGTACCCAACACCTTGACTAATATTAATTTGGCTCGTTTAATTTTCATAAAATTTTGACAAAATGTTTACTTTGACCCTTTGACAAAAATATAAAAATTTCAAAAAAATTGAACCAACAACTTTATCAGAAAAATTTCATTGGTTATATAGCAGTTTGACAAACACTAATTTTGATCATTGAGAAGCTTAATATTTCCTTAACAATACAACGTAATTAAAACGTTTAGCTGATTTTTACAGAGTTATCTCCCTGTAGTGTTAGGTACCACCTTAAACAATAGAAGGTGATTACTACATTTCTCTTTCTTACCCTAAGACGTTATACAATTGATAAACCATTGGTAAATATATATTCTTTAACCTTCATTCAAGAACTATAGAGTTTTTTTAAGAACAGATAAAACCTATATCGAATGATATTGAACAGATATATCATGTTAAGGAGGGGTATTTGCGAAAAATACCAGTCGAGAGAATGTTAAATTTCGGGAGCCGTAAGGCGAGGGAAATTCATTCTCAAGACTGGTATTTTTCGCAAATACCCCTCAAGAACATGCCATATCTGTTTAATTACACCGAATGTTAACGTTCAAAAACGCATGATCGTGACGTTACAAGCGTCCATTCGGATAGAGTATTTTTTGGCAAATACCATGGCAGAGAGGGTAAAAAAGGCATATCCATTTTGCATATACTCCGGCGGCGTTTAAAAAAAGAACGATATTCATTTGATAACAGTAAATTGGTGAAAAATACACTGGCTATCAACCAATCAAAACCCAGGATTCTTACATAAGGTGTAATTAATCGAAAAATATACCCAGACGCTGAAAAGTAAAACGACACGAAATACAACTACGAAATCTAGAGATCACATTTAAAACATATAGACGTGCACTTGTGTGCAGAGGAAAGATATATAAGCCGTGGTTAAGTTTCAATACATCAATGAAATTCATCTCCCTGAACTAAATCTTACTTAACACAGCATCAGAAGAAGTTATTGTATTTGAATTCCCTGAAATTCAAATTATGAATGACAAACGGACGGATTTTCCATTAGTTGTCTTTGGATGTAATTCTTTGCTCCATTTCATTGAGTACACCAGTTGGTTCGATGTTGCTGATGAGGCAGTGACATCCCCACACTTCAATCACCGTAATGATTTCATTTTTTATAGGACGACCCCCTTTGTGTACATATATTTCCCTGAGTCTAGACAATTTGTTGATTAGTTAAAGAGTGATGAAGACATAATACATTCATCTACGACAGTGTTAAACCGACAAAGGTGACGAAATTGACAGTGACGAGATAGTTGACTTTCAAACAAACAAGCTTTCGAGGTTTTACTGGTTTGTGAGTCGCCACTATCTCGATAATTTGAAAAATGAAAATGAAAAATATAAATCAAACCAGAAAAATAATGTAAAGATCGGAAGTACAAAGACCACAAAATAATAATATATCGTAACAGAAAATGAAAATGCTCACACTTGCTAACAACTTCAAAAGTATTTTACCCATCAACGGTAAAGGTAAATGAAACATGTCATTCAAACTTTTATATTTATAATAAGCATATGCACCTGAAAAGTTTTTTTGAACGATTGAAACAAAATCCATCTTTCAAAAGGATTTACACATACATAAAGTTGCATAATTCAGATCAAATAAGACATTTTCCAAGCTATATTGTTAGCTTGTTAATTTATTTAAAACTTTCAAAATATTTACAAAAAGGAAAAGCAAAATAACACCGAACTTCACAGAAAATTCAAAACGGAGAGTCCCTTATCAAATGGCTAAATCAAAAGCTCAAACACATCAAACAAATGGAAAATTACTGTCATATTCCTGAAGTGGTACAGGCATTTCCTGAAAGTAGAAAATTATTGATTAAACCTGGTTTAAGAGCTAGCTAAAACTCTCACTAGTATGATAGTTGCATAGAAT